ATGAATAAGAGTCGGTTGTACGTTGTATAGTTTTTTTCTTCTTCTTTTTAGAAAATTTGGTATAATCCACTTTCGTGCGGAATCGTATGAGCCCATGTAATATTAACCTAAATTATAAGGGCATTTCAAAATATACTTGGTCAATAACAAAAATGTTTTGAAAAGCTCTCCTATTATAGTTGTTGAATAAAAACCCAATTTTCATTTATTAGTATCAATAAATATATAGGTATTATATTAATATTGGGTTGGGTAGAGATATTTCCACATGTTTCACTTAAGTCAAGTCCACATTTGCAAGAAGATATTTGTAACTTGTGCCCAGGGGGATGAGATGCAAAGCCAATGGTTGAGTGTACACGATAAGGCACCTTACCAAGTCAAGTCGAATCAATACCTGCAAGTCAGTTGGAGCACGTGTTTGAAGGAAAATCACCATATCAAGTCTAAGTCACAAGTCTTCGATCTCATCCATTAATTTCCCTAATATTCATTGATTTATTACTTGTTTACTTGGACCACTGACAAATTTTTCTTCAATTATCCTTTTCTACATAGTGATATGAATAAGAGTCAATTGTACGTTGTATAGTTTTTTTCTTCTTCTTTTTAGAAAATTTGGTATAATCCACTTCTGAGGGCATAAGGGAAATTGGACCTAAGAGCTTCTTTTTCCTTTTTGTAAATTATAGCTAGAGAGTTCTCCTCATTACAGGTTACAAGATGCCACCTTGGATTCTTATTTTTTGTTAGACCCACCCTCAACTCTTAAGTAAAAAAAACATAAACTTAATATAACATTAAGAAACAAAAAATTAAAATTAAAATAACGAGGTGATAAGAAGCAAAACCCTTCAAAGAACGAACAATGGGGAAACAAAAAAAAATGCATACAATTGACAAAAAACAATTTGGTTGCTGTTGAGAATTAAAGTAGTGGAATATTAATTTAAGTATTGTGATCATCATTCATTTCGTCCATGCCATCATAATTAATTTGGTTTCGGTAATTGTTATTCCTGCATCTTACTTGTTAGCTCATGCATCATAATTAATTTGGTTTCTGTAAGTTATGACGGAACAATTAGAGTGTACTTAATTTAATTACCTCCATAATAAAGAGATTCGAATCCAAAGTATTAGGAATTTTCTTTCGTAATTTTAATTACCTCCATAATAAAGAGATTTGAATCCAAAGTATTAGGATTTTTCTTTACCAAGTGATTTGTATTCTTATTTGTAAGAACTTAGAATTGCGCCTTGACATTCTAGTCTCATTGTGATTGACGTGTGATTTCCATAACATTAATTATGCATTGTATATAGTTTTGATAATTTACTCCCTGTATATGGTTTTGTCTTGTATTGTTTTGATAATTAATTATGCATTAATTATGAATGTGTGGCACTGTATTAGCTAAACCGTGTTTTTCTTTGTAAAGGCTTTCTTCCTTTTTTTCCTATATATATCTTATGCAAGCTAGCATATATCAATATATACTTGCAGTGTTTTTGCATGTGCATGTGCTTTGATCAATTAACATGAAGGGCGACGGAAGGTGCTTGAAACTCTTGCTTGCATTTTCAATCCTTTTCCAACAAAACGTAAACGGAGGAGAAGTTGGCCACAACCACAGCCTCAGAGATGCTAAAGTGACAATGAGGTGCATAGAGAGGGAAAGGCAAGCACTACTTGCATTCAAACGTGGCCTGGTGGATGTGTTCAATCAACTCTCAACTTGGGGTTCAAAAGCCCAAAAACAAGATTGTTGCAGATGGGAAGGAGTCTATTGTAGCAACCAAACTGGCCATGTGATTCAACTTAATCTTGCAGATTTCCAAGGTAAGATGATTCAACGTTATATTTTTGAATTTTCTTTCCAAGGTAAGATGATTAGTCCTAAACTGGCCATGTGATTCAACTTGATCTTGCAGATTTACAAGGTAAGATGATTAGTCCTAAACTGATTGAGTTGCAGCATTTACAATATTTGGACCTTTCATTTATTAATTATGGGAGCCAAATTCCAGATTTCATTGGTTCTCTAACCAATCTAAGGTACCTCAATCTCAGTTTCTGTCAAATGGTTGGTCAAATTCCAAGTTCGTTTCGAAACCTCACGCAATTGCAACATCTCGACCTCAACTATAATCAGCTTCAACCAAAAAATCTCAATTGGCTCCCTGCTCTTTCTTCTTTAACGTATTTGGACCTTACACGGATTGATTTCAATGGGAGTCGAATTCCAGATTTCATTGGTTCTCTAACCAATCTAAGACACCTCCGTCTCAGTTCTTGTAACTTTGTCGGTCAAATTCCAAGTTTTTTTGGAAACCTTACGCAATTGCAAAATCTTGACCTCAGCGATAATCAGCTTCAACCAGAAAATCTCAATTGCCTCCCTGCTCTTTCTTCTTTAACAGATTTGGACCTAAGCAGAAACTTCAATGGGAGCCAAATTCCAGATTTCATTGGTTCTCTAACCAATCTAAGACCCCTCCGTCTCAGTTCTTGTAACTTTGTCGGTCAAATTCCAAGTTTGTTTGGAAACCTTACGCAATTGCAAAATCTCGACCTCAGTGATAATCAGCTTCAACCAGAAAATCTCAATTGCCTCCCTGCTCTTTCTTCTTTAACAGATTTGGACCTAAGCAGAAACTTCAATGGGAGCCAAATTCCAGATTTCATTGGTTCTCTAACCAATCTAAGACACCTCCGTCTCAGTTCTTGTAACTTTGTCGGTCAAATTCCAAGTTTGTTTGGAAACCTTACGCAATTGCAAAATCTCGACCTCAGTGATAATCAGCTTCAACCAGAAAATCTCAATTGGCTCCCTTCTCTTTCTTCTTTAACGGATTTGGACCTAAGCGGAAACAATCTCAGTACTGTTTTCGATTGGCCAGAAGCAGTACTTAATAAGCTCCCTAAACTAGAAGAATTGAGATTGGTGAACTGTAGTCTTCCTCCTCCTCCTACTCCAATTCTTTCCACTACTCTTTACAAAACAAATTCTTCTACATCTCTTGCGTATGTTTCTCTCTCTGACAACCATCTCACTTCTTCAATATTTCTTTGGTTGTCCAACTACAGTACAAGCCTTGTTCGTCTTTACCTCTACAACAATAATCTATCTGGTTTCATTCCCGATTTCATTGGAAACATGAGCTCTCTTGTGGATCTGGATCTCTCCTACAATAATCTAACTGGTTTCATTGCCAATTTCACTGGAAGCATGTGCTCTCTTGGGTATCTGGATCTCTCCAACAATTATCTAACTAGTTTCATTGCCGATTTCACTGGAAACATGAGCTCTCTTGGGTATCTGGATCTCTCCAACAATTATCTAACTAGTTTCATTGCCGATTTCACTGGAAAAATGAGCTCTCTTGTGGATCTGGATCTCTCCAACAATTATCTGACTGGTTTCATTGCCGATTTTACTGGAAACATGAGCTCTCTTGCGAATCTGGATCTCTCCAACAATAATCTAACTGGTTTCTTTCCCGATTTCATTGGAGACATGAGCTCTCTTGCGAATTTGGATCTCTCCAACAATAATCTAACTGGTTTCATTCCCGATTTCATTGGAGACATGAGGTCTCTTGTGGATCTGGATCTCTCCAACAATTATCTAACTGGTTTCATTCCCGATTTCATTGGAAACATGAGCTCTCTTGTGGAGCTGGATCTCTCTCATAACCAAATTGAAGGTGCGAATCCAAATTCGTTTGCAAGGCTGTGTAATTTGCAAAGATTGTTGCTTCAAAGAAATCATCTGAGTGGAAAATTATCCAAGTTTGTTCAACTATTGCCTAGATGTGCTCAAAACTCTTTAGAGGAATTGTACCTCTTTGAGAATGTTCTTGCGGGGTCATTAAACAATCTTACAAGCTTCTCATCTTTGATATTCTTGATTCTTAATGGCAATCAATTAAGTGGAAAAATACCTGAAAGTATTGGGCAAATGTCGCAACTGGAGGCAATCGATTTCAGCATAAACTCTTTGAAAGGGGAGGTTTCAGAAACTCATTTCTCAAAACTCTCCATGTTAAATTATTTGGATTTATCCTTTAACTCACTAGGTTTAAATTTCCATTCTGATTGGGTTCCTCCCTTCCAGTTGGATTACATAAATTTGACATCCTGCATGGTCGGTCCTGTTTTCCCAAAATGGCTTCAAACTCAAGAACATACTTTCGAGCTTGATATTTCGAATGCTGGAATTTCTGATATCCTTCCAAGTTGGTTTTGGAGTAATTTTCGTAATGCAGACCTTATTAATCTCTCACAGAACCAAATCAGAGGAATATTTACAAATTTGACAGTGGAGTTTACATATAACCTAGAACTACATTTGAGTTCGAACCAAATAGAAGGTCCAATTCCCTCAACTCTATCAAAAGCCTCATATCTGGATCTCTCTAATAATAACATTTCAGGGTCGCTTTCTTTCCTATGTGCAAGTGCAGATATGAGTTTAACATATCTTGATCTTTCAAGCAACAATTTTTCTGGAGAACTTCCAGATTGCTGGAGCCATTTGGAGACTCTAGTCATGCTTGATTTGAGTAACAACGCTTTTTCCGGAAAAATTCCCATGACAATAGGCTCTTCATTGCAAACTTTGAAATTAAGTAGAAACCAATTTGTTGAAGAATTGCCTTCATCGTTGAAAAACTGCGCAAGTTTAGAAGTTATTGATCTGGGAGAGAATAAATTATCAGGACCAATACCTACATGGTTAGGTGTGAGCTTCAAGAATTTGGTTATCCTGATGCTTTCCTCTAATCACTTCAATGGAAGCATGCCCTCACAATTATGTCATCTAACACGAATTCAAATTTTGGATTTCTCAGTGAACAACATCTATGGAAGCATACCCAAATGCCTCCATAGAAATAATGATAGACATCTAAGGAAATTCAAGTCTAACCAGCACACATACTTATACTAGAGATAATGATAGACATCATTATGACCTGGGTGATATTAATTATGAGGATGAAGCAAGCTTTACATGGAAAGGAAGAATGCAGACATACAAAAGCACTTTGGGGCTAGTGAAGAGAATTGATCTCTCAAGCAATAGATTAACAGGGGAGATTCCAAGTGAAATCACTCATCTTGTTGAGTTGGTTTCTTTAAACCTTTCAAGAAACCGGTTAACAGGTCAAATAACTCCAGAGATTGGAAACTTGCAGTCATTGGATTCTCTTGATTTGTCAAGAAACCAGATAGATGGAAGAATTCCGACAAGCCTTGCTCGGATAGATCGTCTTAGTTTCTTGGACTTGTCATATAACAACTTGTCTGGCAAAATACCAATAGGCACTCAGCTCCAAAGCTTTGATCCCCTTGATTATGCTGAAAATCCTCTACTCTGTGGACCTCCACTTAAAAATATGTGTGTTGATCAAATTGAGCCAACTGACTTGAGCAATGAAGAGGATAAGGATGAGTTTATAACACTAGGATTTTACATCAGTATGGGGATTGGGTTTGCTGCCGGATTTTGGGGCGTTTGCGGCACTTTGATATTCAATAGGTCATGGAGATACGCATACTTCAAGTTGTTGAATGATTTAAATGATTGGCTTTATGTGAGGATAGCTTTGATCAAGCGGCAACTAAAGTTAGCATATGCTTAAAAGATAAGCTCGTGACGGTACTCTCTCTCTCTCTCATCATTAATTTCGTTTTATAATTATTTTCTTATTGCATTTTTTCTTTTCTCCAAACTAGCGGGTATTAATTTGTTTACTTTGATATTTAGCTGCAACATCTAAATTAGGAGAAAAGTAGATGTAGCTGAATGCCTCCTTTCAGTTCAAGTGTTGAAGATTGCTAGTACGCGCATGCACATGTATCTGGAGAAGAGTTTACGAGTTAATTTGGAGTACTTAGTAGGAATAAATATGAATTAAATTAGTGTTAATTACTTGTTTGAACAATTAATTCGGAGTTCTCCAATTAAGGTTTTGTTGTTGTTGTTGTTGTTGTTGTTGTTGAGAGAAATAAACAGATCCATTTTAATCCAAGCTCACTCAGATTAATGTATTAGTTCTAGCTATAGTGATATTTTAATTAACTATGCCAAAGCCAAAGCTGACAGGACCCGACCCAAATTCCACTTTGGAATTCGAGCTAAACCCTATGCATGTCCGGCACCTGGCAAGTGCCGAGCACAAATGACCTAAAATTACAGCAAAGTCTCCCCTGCAATTTATCAATCCCAAAATTACACCTGTCTCACATGCATATAAATATACACACCAACTGCCAGAATACAAATAATTACATACCAACAGTTAGATATGTGTTCAAGGGCAATATCAGAGCAACTATACAGAATTGATTACGAGTAAAATACAACTATACAAAATCCTACATTGGCAAATGACGTGGCTGAAGGTGTTCTCAGCCCAGTGGTGGCGCACTGATGCACGACTACTGCCTGGGGGCGCAAAACATTGAAAAGGTGAGTGGATCAAAAACAAGATTTTAGAAAAAAGCATATGAACATACTAACCCCTCTGTAAAAACTGTTATAAAACTAAATCATTTTCTTATTTATACTTGTACTGAAATCAATGCATTCATATTTATATCTATAGAATCAATCATACACTTGATCAGACATTAACTCTTTGAAAGCATTGAAATCAACTTTAATCTACCACCTAGGTGTACCCATTTATAATTCCATCAATTCCTTTAGTTTCCGTCAATTCCTCTAGTTCCTGTCAATTCCTCGTGTCACCGTAGCAACACGCTCTTGCAAGTCTCGGAAGACACAAAGTCACACGAGCCGCAATCCTCGCAATATTCAGGGAACACTTGGTCGGCCTGATCCGCATTTCTCGCACCACATTGTTCGGGCGTCCTCGAAACTCGTGGGGCAATGTCAAGCATGCTGACCTAACATAAGGCAACTGGATGTCCGGAGACATCATTATAACCGAAGGCAACTATTTAAATCCGAAGGCAACATATTTATCGAAGGCAACCTTAATTATTCTTGGGTACCTATGGTGGTTTCTATATATATATATATAATTTCTAAAAAGATTTAACTAATAAACCAATTTCCTGTTTAACCTTATACTCTGCTGCCATTAAACTGATACTTAAAATAGATTTTTCCTTTTCCTATATCCTTTAAGGATATCTCACTCGACAACATATAAACTGAAATACTTAAAAGCAATAAATTGATTCAAAGAAATATCGATCTTTTAAATAAACTTATTCAAGATCAAATAATAAATTAAATTGCATAAACTCATTTATGAAAACAAATAGTCCACTCACAGATGCCCTGAGCTAGCTGGACCCTTTGAAGGTCCCTCCTGTGGGTCACCTGGTGCCCGGGTGCCTAAATAACCATCATAATATTTTATTATTAAATCTGCTCAACAAAATAATACTAAATTAAAAACCCTAACCCCCGACTCCTAAAAGTGCGTGCATCACTTTAAAGGTCATTCCTATGCCCACACTAGCTTTTCTCTCAATGGGCATGACTTAGAAGTAACTCGGGACTCCAAAGCGATAAAGTCCCAAAAAGTCAACTTGGGACCCCGTGGGTAGAGGTGTCAAATGTGCCGTGCCGGGCCGGCCCGTCCCATTTAAACTCGTGCTTTTAACATTTTCGTTCCGTGCCGGCACATTTAATAAAATCATTGATCCCGGCCCGGCCCAAAGCCCATGTCCATATTCAAACGGGCCGGGCCGGGCTCGTGCCGTGCCCGTGCTCGTGCTCGTGCCATACTCGGGCCCAAGAATCAACCCATTCTTTATTTTGGAAGGTGAGCAGCAGACCAGGGCATTAAAACCCTTTACTAAAAAAGGAAAGTGTTGCTCTCTCTAGTCGAATCAATCAAAAACAAAGGAAACAAGTCAGCTTCAAAAACAGTTGTATTTGTAGAGACGTTGGCCGGGCTTCTTTAAAACCAAAACAAGTTGGCTCTCCTTTAGACCATCTCCAACCCATGAGGGGCTAAACCCAAATTTTCCCCCTCCAAAAAGTGATTATTTGGGTTTTGCCCGGACTCAAATCGTTTTTTCTCCCAACCCTCCGGACCCAAATTTTAAGTCCGCAACTTTATTAAATTGTTTAAAAATGGTTTAAGTCTAATTTTTTTTATGGATAACTTTTCTTTATTCAATCTTTTTAAATAACTTCATAATTAAATTTTTTGAACAATTTGACCTAAAAAAATTAAAATTCCACAAATATAATTTTATTTCAAAAGAAAACACACAACATAATTCTAAAAGAAAACACACAGTACTTCAAATTCACCATACATGAATACCAATATAAATAAACTAATAACCACCATCGTGGGGGCTTGGATAATAGTCCCCTGAGTTGTCTTCAGGATTAACGGTAGACTGTTGACCCTCTGCATATTCTTGCATAATTTCATCTTGTTTATCCCCCCAATACTTCTTCTTTCTTGGAGTAAATTTGGACACGTCCATGGACATTATTTTTTGTTCTTGGGCTTCCTTATCTTGTTGCTTCTGATACGCATAAGCACCAGCTTGATCTTGGACAAACTTGTCCAATATGTTGAGCTTTCGTCTCCTATCCTCCTCGAAAGCAGTACCTTGCTCCACCAATGTTTCCAAATACTTATTCCTTTTTTGTTGAGAAGTGTCAGTCATCTTCCCTTTTTTTTTGCAGCCTTTTGTTTATCTCGCCCCTCAGGCCTTGGACTAGGCATGGTGATTTCATCTGCATCGTTATCCAAATTCACCATACTTGCACTAGCTCCAAAAGAACGTTGCGTGGGAGGCTCATTTATATCGTTCTACTTTGGGCAATCTTTTAAGATTTCCCAAGCATGGTACAACTTGAAAGGCCTATTTGGAGGCTTATTATCATTAAGAAATATTGTTTTCGCATAAACGTCCTACACATGAAAAAATAAATTTAAGTTTGGAGTTTAATAAAATTACAAATATAAATTTAAAGCTTTAATGAGAATGGTTACTTACCACATCATGTAAATTTGAGCCACTTCGTGGGTTCGTATTGGCCTTAGTCAAGCATGCCTTCCAAAGAGAACACTGTTGGTTGATAGTCTTGAACCGAGAAGCAATGGCTTGATATGTTCGTCGCTCGGATCCACTAATGCCCAGATCATTTTCCAGAAACTTTTGATATACACGTTGCCAAAATGTGTCGCTTGCTTGATTGGTGCCAATAGCCCCATCTTCACTGACAGAAACCCACCCTTTGCACAATGCCTCATCTTCTTCAGGCCTCCAATTCACACCTCTTTGAGATTTTGTGGACATCTTCAACAAGAATGAAAAGAGATTGATGAGATTGACAAAGGAAAAATAAATTGAGAAATAGAAAAAATGTTTTTGGTAGATTAATTGAGAAATGGATGGGTATTTATAGAGTTTGGAGTGAGTTTTGGGGTTGGATCTGATTTGGATTAATTTAAAATATTATTTTGACCGTTGGATTTAAATTT